CTATCTATCTATCTATCTATCTATCTATCTATCTATCATCTATCTATCTATCTATCTATCTATCTATCTATCTATCTATCTATCTATCTATCTTTCTATCTATCTGTTGTTTTGCCCGCACATATTTATGTGCACCCTGTACATGCCTGGTGCCCGTGGAAGCCACAAATGGGTTTCAGATTCTTCTGGAACTGGAGTTATAGATGATTGTAAGCTTCCATGTGAGTACTAGCAACAGAACTTGGGTCCTCTGCAAGAGCAGAGAGTGCTCTTAATTGCTGAGACCTATCTCTACTCCCACTCCTGCTTTTATAACAGTTTTACACTCTATATAAGACTCAAAGGTTTTAGTTCTTGAAGGGAGCTGAGAGTTTATATATATATATATATATATATATATATATATATATATATATATATATATATTTCATTTTCCAAATGGCAAAAATGAGGCATACAGAGGTAAAGCACTAGGCTCAAGGTTATGCCGAATTGGAGTCACAGCTGGGTCTAGAGTTCAGCTCTCCTGCCCCAGGCTTCATTTACTTTGCCATCACTCTGAATATCTGTGGTGGAGAAGTTAAGCAGAGGTGTCTTTATGACCTTTCTTCTCTTAGGTGTCCTGAGTCAGTTTGGGGTGTGATCTTTAGGGAGCCCCATTTCTCAGGCTTGCCTCCTCATGCCACCTTTGTCTGCAGCTTTCCAGTGGTGGCTCACCCTGGGAGCCTGTCTCTCTTTGTCCCTGGACCCCTCATGCTGTGCTGTCTGCCTTCTAACTTTCCTCAGGTCAGACTCTGCTGGACACATGAGTCTTCCCCATACTGCTCAGGGGAAACTTTGCTTCCACTGTCAGCAGTTTCTAATACTCCCTGTCACCCACCGTGCCAGCCTTATGCAAAAAAACGCCCACTTCTGCTGTCCATGTCAACATAAAAATTAACGGTACTGTCAACTGAGGCTCTAACAAAACAGAATTGTGGCAAACAAGATACTTTTTGGACAGAGGTCTTTTGATTAATACCTGAAAAATAACCAGACTAGTGTTTTGTTAGTATTTATAGTAATATTTTTATGTAACTATGGATTAATTTTACGGTTTATCATTTTTCTTAGAACATGCATTTCACAGTTTTTGCTGCAGAGAACTATTTCAATTATTTAGTTAATGCCTTACAGCTATTTTCCTTGTTTTAAAATGGACACTTGAAGGGCCAGGGGCTGATTTGAAATGAATCATGTGAAATTTGTTCTGAAGCAAAGACTTTGTTTCCTTCTCCTAGAATGGGGATACACACTTTTAACTAACCCTTCCCTCCTCTCAGCATTTCCCTTCTACTTCTGTGAACTCACAGGACAGAGCGCTTTGGAAAACGTAGTGTCCAATGACATGAAATAACTGATGTCAGAAATATGGTAGGGAGAGATGGATCAGCAGTTAATAGCACTTGTCACTCTTGTAGAGGACCTGGGCTTGGGCCCCAGCACCTATAACTCCAGTTCCAGGAAATCTGATACATTCTTCTGACCTCCAAGGTCACCAGAGGCATTCACATGTCACATACATATGTGCTGACAAAACACTCACACACATAAGATAAAATAAATAAATGTAAAAATATATGGAGTACCAAAGTACACATTTCAGGAAAATGTAGGAGATGATGAGTAAGGGCAAAATAAGAATAAAATGCAAATATCTATAAAACTCACCCGAGTGTTTTCTGATGCTCTCAGTCCCTTCAAAAATACCTGGATCTTCTGTCCTGTAGTTCGAGTATAATGAAAACTATCTTCCAGTAGAGGGAAGGACTTAGTTGAATTTGGATAGTCAGAAATCCATGTGTACATTGACTTTTTTTCTATGAAGAATGTGGAAGCCCCTGAAATCCCATGGAGAGCCTCTTCACAGTTGGTTGTAAGTCACAGCAGAAATGTACTATTTCTGGATTTCTGCCAAAAATCATACTTTTGTATTTAATACTATTGTCCTTTTTTCAACTATGTAAAGAATTCTGCAGTAAGATTTCCTAGGATAGTGTTCAGTTGACTGAAATGCCATGTAAGAGTAGCGTGTCTTGTGTTTCTTCAGACCTAGTGATGAGTAGAGATGGAGAGCTATGAGCAGTCTTCTTTACAGTTGTACCAGTTTATCAGGACAATTTAAAAACCAAACATCACCAATCAGTCAGAACACCAGTGTGGCCAAAGCATCTTGTTTGCTTTACTGCACACTTTAGGTGAGAGTGTTATCATTCGTTCCAGATGGAATATCCATCTTTGAGCTCTGAAGGGGAACCATGAAGGGAGCAAACAGCTGTGGCTGGCAGCTGTTGCGTTGCTGTTGGTCTACCTGAATATCCAGGCTTTGTTTCCAAGGAAACATCCCAACAGTGACATCAGCTTGCCAAGTTATAGTTAAGAAAAGTTAATTCTGTGACTGCTGATGTAATAGCCTTGGCATCTACAACTAAGAGGGTTTAATGAAAAATAGGACCTGAACACCTGACTCTTTGGGCCATGTTGTATATAATTAAATTAACTAGTAGTATTTCATCATCCCAGGTGAAGTGTCAATTACTAGGGGATGGCCTTGCATCTTCTTATTTAATTCATATGAGAACATAGATATGAGAAGTGTAGTGGATGTGAAGTTTGGTCAGCCCTCTGATGCTGCAAGTGCTTTGTCTGAGAGCTAGATTGTCAGGGTGCAATTTTGGAAATCCTAGATGTATGAATTTCAGGAAATATGTCATATCTCAGATTCTTAGTTTTCTTTTCCATAAAACATGTATAGGGCCAGGAAGATGGCTCAGTGTGGTAAAGACTTGCCATTTAATCTTGGCAATGTGAATTTTATTCGTGAAACTCACCCCAAGGTGGAAAGAGAGAACCAATTCCACAAAAGTGGAGTAATCTGACCTTCATATGTATGCTGTGGCGTGTACATATACCCATACATCATATATATACAAAATCATGAAACAAAATTAAAAAAGAATAAAATAAATTTTTTAGAACTTTTGAGAAATTTGCTAATCATGTGGCATTTACTGTTACATGCAAAATATTCATGTCAGGGAAAAGGTGAAACAAAATAAAACCTACTGTCAATATTTTTGATATCAACTATTTGCTATTTTAGACAATAGCAAATCTCTTGTATGAATTAGAATCTCTTGCTCTGGTTCTCCTTTTGCTTTCTCTTTGCTTTAGCTATATGAGTTTCGTGTTTAAATTGATGAAGAAGAATAAAAGCAGAGAAATGAAGATTGCACTGTTTTTTTTTTTAAATTAAAATGTATTTCTCAAAGACATGGCCTTTGGTAGTATCTTAGGTAGGGTTTCTATTGTTGTGACAAAACAGCATGGCCAAAAAGCAAGTTGGGGAGGAAAGGGTTTATTTGGCTTGCACTTCCATATTGCTGTTCATGATTGAAGGAAGTCAGGACAGGAACTCAAACAGGGCAGGAACCTGGAGGCAGGAGCTGATTGAGAAGTCATGGAGGGGAGCTGCTTACCCAGCTTTCTCAGTCTGCTTTTTTATAGCACTCAGGACCAGCAGCTCAGGGATGGCTTCACCCACCATGGGCTGGGCCCTCCACCATTGATCACTAATTGAGAAATGCCTTACAGCTGGATCTCATGGAAGCATTTCCTCAACTGAAGCCCCTTCCTCTCTGATGACTAGCCTGTGTCAAGTTTACACACAAAACCAGCCATTACAGGTGTGGTTGTTTCTTTTTGTTCTAGAGCTTCCAGGTGTGCTGTTAAGTTGCTAGTATGAGATCTCTCTAATTTCTCTCTCTCTCTCTCTCTCTCTCTCTCTCTCTCTCTCTCTCTCTCTTTTTTTTTTGAGACAGGGTTTCTCTGTGTAGTTTTGATGCCTCTCCTGGATCTCTCTCTGCAGACCAGGCTGGCCTCGAACTCACAGAGATCAGCCTGCCTCTGGTTCCTGAGTGTGGGGATTAAAAGCATGTACTACCACCGCCTGGCCTTCTAATTTCTTTATGAAGTCACCTAGTGGTATGAACTTTCCTTTTATCATGACTTCCATTGTGTTCCCTAAGTATGGGTATGCTGTACATTCATTTTCATTGAATTCTAGAAGTCTTTAGTTGTTCAGCTTCCATGAGTTTATAGGCTTTCTGATGTTTCTGTTGTTGAAATCCAGCTTTAATCCATGGTGGTCTGATAGGATACAGGGGTTATTTCAATTTTCTTGTATCTGTTGAGACTTTCTTTGTGACTTAGTATATGGTCAATTTTAGTGAAAGTTTTGTGGTTCTGTGAGGTGCTGAGAAGAAAGTATATTCTTTTGTGTTTGGGTGAAATGTTCTGTAGATATCTGTTAGGTCCATTTGGTTCATAATATCTTTTAGCTCTATTATTTCTCTGTTTAGTTTTTGTCTGGGTGACCTGTCCTTTGGTAAGAGTGGGGTATTGAAGTTTCTCACTATTAATGTGTGAGGTTTGATGTGTGATTTAAGCTTTAGTAATGTTTCTTTTATATTGGTGAAATTATTTTGGCCACTCCATGTAGTTAAAAGGATATTTATTTAATGGCGTAACTCACAAATTAAGTAATGGGTAGGTCGCAGGGTCTGGGGAAGGTGTAATGCAGTCCAGCGGTGTTCTCTGGAGCTCTGCACAGTCAGTCTGCACCGGTCAGCGTTCCGGCACCGAGAGAGCGCCCAGAGAGAGCGCTGGCCCATCCAGCTCTCGGGTCCCCAGGCGCCTCCCCTCGCCCCGCCTCGTAGGCGTGACAGTTGCCGGAGTCTCAATGGGGGTTGGAACTTCCAGA